CCCACACCCACCCACACCCACACCCACCCACACCCTTACAACTTCGCAATATGATATAATAGTATTAGCAATCTGTGCATAATTATTAATACGATATTGAAATATTAATAGTCATATTGTATCAATGAAAGTCTAAAGTCAAATAAAGAGGTAATCGATGATTTTGCATAACTTTAATCATTAGAGCAAAGTAAGAGGTGAAGAAGTTTCAGTTTCAGTTTAATTTTTTTTTTTGGTCAGAAAGACCTATACCAACTGATTATAATATTGAAATTTCTCTTGTTTCTTTATTCATCTGTCTAGAACGATAAAACCAACCCCTCACAGATACAGACACACAATGCAGTTTTTTAAAATAAAAATCAAAAATTTTGTAATGTATTGATTTCGCTCATAATATTGACACGTCGATTTTGACATTTTTTCACCGAAATTTCTTTTGCTACCTAAAAAAAATAAAATTCAATAAAGATTTCTAATAAAATAAAATGATAATCAATGTAACCTGTTCTTTAAGTTGTTTAGTATATGAAATTAATAAATTTAATTTTTCTTTTAATTGTTATTCTTCTTTTAAAGAATTTGATGCTTTTTCTTCTAATTCTTTTTATTGTAAACGATTACGTTCAATAGCAATTTTCTTTTGATGAAAAGAATTTATAAGATGATCAACAAATTTATATGAATCAAGCATTGAAAATAAACGATCTAATTGTCGATTACTAATTGATGTAAATATTGAATCAACATTTTTTAAGAATGTTTTTAAGTCTTAATGAAACACAATGATCATAAATTCATTCTTTTTCAAATCTAACTTTCTTACCATTTTCATTTATCTTTTGTATTGATGCTGGAGCATTTTGCATGATAAATGTCATAAGAATAGTTTCATTGACGTGATATTCATTAAGACGTTGTTTGAGAAATGATTAAAGCTTTAAAGAAATGAAAAAAGTTTATTTTTGTTATTTGAAAAACAGTTGAACTTACTCGATAAAGTTCATGAATAAAGAATATATATGTTGAACGATTTTCTAATAATGTAAATGCATCATTGCCACGAGCAATACCATCATCAACTAATTAAAGAAAAAAAAGTTCTGAGGAGACCAAAAGATGACATGAAATACTTGGATGAGTTGATTCATTGAGAACAGCTTCTCTAAGGGCATCAGGAATTGAATTGGGATGAGTACCATTTGATGTAAGAGCTGAATCAAGTAATTCAGGTATTGTATTAATAGCAGACCAATCAATTTCGGCTTCCTAAATATATAAAAATCAAAGTATTGATAATTAAAAGAAACTGAACATGGATTTGTACGGTGTCAAAATTAATCGTATCAGATTGATTTGCTGTTTGTTTAACATCAATTCCTTCAGTTGATGTTGTTGTTAAATCATCATCTAATCCGAGAATAATATTCGCTTCTTCTTCATAAACTTCAGCTGTTTCTGCAAATTTATAATTTAATGATGGCCGTTCAACACTAACAGGTACATGACCGCCAGTTCGCCATTGATAAACAGTTGTATTTCCATGTTTAATTAAATATTTAATCATAGGTAAAAATTCTTCATTATCAGATTTCGAAGATAGATGAAAATGTTTCATAAATTCTGTATAAAAATCAAGAGCAGATTTTAATGAGAGAATTGAATTTTCCTGTCCACTAGCTAATTTTGTGCATATATTTGGTAAATATTCAATACGTTGAATTAATTCTCGTTGAACATTTTCACCCTAAGTTAAATAGAAAGTCGAGCATTCTTGAGAATAATAAACTTACTTTAATTGACATATCATTACACAATTGTGCATATTGTTTTTCAATTTCATGAATACTTTTATCGAATTCTGAATTACGTGTATGACATTCTTCTCGAATTTGTTGACATTTATTTATTTGTTGTTTTTAGTGCAGGAATTTCAAAAGCAACATTTCGTTGAAGAATTTGAGCACATTCAATTATACAAACCAAATATTAACAAACAAGATTTTAAAAATGAAAAACAAATCAAGATAAACCGAATTCTTTTCGTAAATTGACACAATGGTTCTCCAACTCTAGACAAATATTCGAATATATGAAATGGAAAAGTCAAATATAATAATAAAAAACAATCTTCATTCGTTGTGATGAATACATGCCAAACATTTTAACTTTCTTTTTCTGTTTCTTTTAATATTTCAACAATTTTAAGACAACAAAAATAATCCAAATCTATGAATAAAATTAATAGTAAAAATAAAGGAGAAAGAATATGTATACATGAAGAGCCAAGTAATCTTTTGATTTTATCATGTTCTGGCATATTTAAAATTGCTTGTTGAATTTCCACTCGAATAGCCACTTATCGTTCATTGCAATCTTTTGGACAGTGACGACGATCAACTAACCAATCTATCAAACAATCAAATTTATTAGGAAAAAAGAAATTGAAATATATGAAAGAACTTACCAACAAGTTTGGTAAGGTGAATATATCAATAGTACTATCATCAACAGTCATGATTAGATCTGCAAATAAAAAAAGAACTGATTTCTTTCTTTTTAAATCGGTGAAAATTGATCATTAAGAACAGACAAAGAGAAGAACATTTGCTGTATAATCGAATATTTTCTTAGTTTATCAAAAAGAAATTTGACAAAAAAAAGCCTAGAATAAAACATAAGGTTGAGGATATTTGGCAATGATTAAACGTTCTCGATATGTAATTAAATATTTCATATTCATTGTTTGATAAAGCTAAAAGAAAAATAAAATTAAAAAAAAAAAATAAAACGAAATTTACTTACAGTAGTTTCTGATCATATTCTTGTTGTTGTGATGAAGATTTTTCTTCAATTTGTTTTAAAAGTAATTTCCAAAGACGACCATAAAATTTTTAATAGAATAATATTTATAAAATAAATTTGCTAATTTTCCATCATTAATATCAATATGTTTTTGTAAACTTTTAAGAACATTTGTTAAATATCCTGATTGATCATCATTATTTGGTGATAAATCACATAAACACATTCCTAATGATATATATATCAATTAACCAATTACGACGTTTTTTCATATCACTAAAAGAAAAAATTCTTTGAGAAAAGTTGTTTTTCTTTGATGAAAATACTTTTTAATAGTTTGAATTTCTTCGTCATTTGATGAGGAATTTTTTTGACCAAAACATTTTAAAATTAAATCTTCATCAAATAAAAGTAAAAGTTTATTTTGAATAAATTTAATAATCTCATTTAATTTTTCATCTTTTTTTTCATATGTTAAATAAGATTGTTGTTGTTTTAATTGATTTTCAAGTTGTTGAAGACGAGTAGTATGTAATGGAATATGATTATTTAAATCTTGTTGTTCAAATAACAATTCTTCATATAATTTTCCTTGATCATCAATTAATCTATATTCAAAAAATAAACAATAAAAACAATGAACAGAATTGTTTATCTACTTTGGAATCCAAGAAATTTTCAAATCTCGTAATGCATCTTGATATTGTTGGTCTTTCTGTGATGATGGACTATTTATTGTTCCTTCTTTATTTGTTGTAACTGGTGGATTTCTTTGTTTTTTTTTATTACTAGTACTAACACTACTTGATGAAGATTTTTTCGATGAACTTGATGAAGATGATGAACTAGGCTCAGTAAAATATTGATAAATTGTATTCATTTCCTATAAAATATTTCATTGACTTCTTTAATTGTATTATCTTCATAAACTTTCTCTAATTTCCAATTGTTGGTTTCATTAAAAAAATCGAATTTATAACTGGAATTGCAAGCACCTAAATTTATAAATGAAATAAACATTCATTTTGATAAGAATAACAATAGTTACATCTTCAAATGGATTCTAAGAAATTTTAACAAATGATTTAGCAGCACTAAAATAATTTTATTCTTTTATTTGAACAAAATCAATAAATTGATTTGACTTACTCGAGATCAATTGATTCTTCAATCACATATAACTCTTTTATTAATGTTCGTTGATTTACACTATAAACCCGTATAAAACCATCAATTGACGATGTTGCCTAAATGTATTCAAGTTTTTTTTAAATAAAACCAAGGGGGAAAGAGCAGATTTCAGGACTTCAAAACACTTCAACGATTCCA